TTCCGTTTCGTTGTACGTCTTCCTTCTTTCCAAAATCCCTTCAAAGTAGCATCAACAATGCTCAAAAATCACTTGGTGTATCTGAATGGGGCGCTTGGAGCGGGGATAAATATACTCCTAATGTACTTCATCATCACTGATCACCAGGTATGATCATCATCATCAAGTTTTCGGGGTAGATTCGGCAGCAGAATGTGGAAATACAACTTACATTACGTACTGTAGCCTTAGCAAGCAAAATTATCAACAAAATTACATAAATTTTCCTAGGGCAAGACGAAAAATTATCGCTATATGCTGGGGCTGATCACGCTGTATAACATATACTACAGCATCGCATTATGCGTCATCGACATGGTAGGTTACGGTAGCGAGGCGAGGAGAGAGTTAGAGGGAGAGAGGGAGAGAGGGAGAGAGAGAAAGAGAGAGAGAGAGAGACAACGAGATGGAGACGCAGACTTCATTGTGTTGTAGATCCTCCTCATCGACGACCGTGGTTTCCTAATGTTTAGCGCCAACTTTGCGCCCTACGGCTGGTGGCCATCCTACCTAGCCTCATTGGTAATTTTACAGACATAATTATTGATTTTTAATTTCCATTTCCAGGTCTACGTCGACAATTTTACCGTATCCCTAGCGTTACTGACTGTACATTGCCTGTATCGCTATGTGAAGATTACTGGGTGAGAGATAGAGAGGAGAGAGAGAGAGAGAGAGAGCGAGAGAGAGAGAGAGAGCGCGAGAGAGTGAGAGAGCAAGATAAAGCAAGATAAAAATTTTCAGCAAACACAAATTCCTCTTCGACACACCATTGGCTATTTTCGGGGTTACCGTAGTCAGCCTTGGCTCTGGGATCGTCTGGCTGCTATTCTGCGCTCTTTCCATGTCGGTAGGTGTCTTTTGTAGTTCCCTAGCATCTTTTCTAGAGCTTATTTTTAATATTAATTTTAAACCTCAATTTTTTTTCTTCCAGTCAAGCTACGAGCGTTCGGAGTACAGCCGCGCAATCATCTGGGAAATGCACAGCATCGACACAAGGGAACTCGGGTATTTGGGGCCGATCTATTTGGTAGCTACCGTAGGCCAGAAACGAGAATGAGAGTTGTTTTTAGTACCCTGACGCGTCTGGAGTTGATCGGGTCCTATGGAAAAATTTCATTGGATCGGCTGGTTGTATGCTGATCATGGTCAGCCTCTACACCGCCATCTGGGTGTTTGGCATACGACTGTAAGTATCGGAGTGTTCGGAATGTAGCGAAGTATGCATCGCAACCCCGCCAAAGTTAAAAATTGTGGTATTTATCCAAATTGAACGTTATTCTGGAAACCTAACGCAGCGTATCGGAATTTAACGGAAATCGACGAGAAACCTGAAATTTCAGATTCTTCTTTATCCGAGGCTCCCTCGTTAGTGCTCAGACGAAAAAGATACAGCTTCAATTGATGCAGTTGTTGGTAATTCAGGTAACTTATCAGCGAAATCAATTTATCCCAAATTTTAGGCCACAGTACCACTGATTTTCGAGTACGCGCCATGCCTTATGTGCGTTTGGGGAGGATATATCGGTCCGGCGGTTTTCTCTCTCTCTCATTCTGTCTGTCTCGCTCTCTCTCTCTCTCTCTCTAGCTCACTAACGTTGTTTTTTTAAGGAATCCCCTTCACAAAAGAATACTCATTGTACGGCATGGTCTTCATCTCAGCCTATGCCCCTGTTGATGCCATTTCCAGTATCGTTGGATTTCCGGTAAAAAGCGTATTTCTGGAATTTGGGAACATACTAAAATGGAAATCTAAGAGGCAGCTAGCAAAGATCTTTCGTGAATTGCCATTTACCACGATACGTTCAGATTTATCGCCGACGTCTTCTGAAATGTGCTCGAAGGAGAAAAATCTACTCCACCGGGGGCACCACGATGAAGAGCTCAAATGACAGCGCTGCCTAATTTCAAAAGTCTAAAATATAATTTGTTAAGATAAAAATAGATAAAAATACTCTTAAGACGATTATACTATTCAAAATATATTTGAATAGTATAAATAGTATAATATAAATAGTATAATAGTATAAATCTAATTTTCTTTGCGTATTTTCATCGACCTCTAAAGTCTTAGTCAGCACTCGTCAAAATTTCCATTTTTAAGGTTCAAAAACTATAGATAGCTGTTTTGGGAACAATTACATGTGTTTCTTATATTTATACAATCAAAAAAATGTACATTATACGATATATCAATATGGTTTAAATTAACTTTTCCTCTTTCATCGAACTCGCATTAAAAGTGAATTATCCCCCGCCATCGAGTGTGAATAGGGCAATAGACGATCCATAAAGCTCGAGGTAACTCAAATATATAAATTTTGATAGAAAAACGTAAAAATTACCGATTCCAACCAAAATCAATAGAATATACAGCGAAATAAGCATGTAGCACATCATGTTTTCCAAAAAAAAAGGGAATTCGGGGGGTAAGAGTCGGAATTGAGGAGTAAGAGTGTTTTGCAAAAGTGATTTAGGGTTGTTTTGTCGGAATCGAAACGGCGGGGGCGGAGATGATATTGGCGAACTTGCGTGACGAAAGATTGGGGATTTTTGGTCAAAGAAAAATATGAAATTGAGGCGTTTATCTTGTATCACACGTAAACCGTATTCCTTTAAAATCGAAAAATAATGAAACTATTGTTTTAACCTATTCAAATCGCAATTAAACGCAACAAACTACTATAAAAATGTTCTTCTAATTCTTAACACAGTAATGATGATCGCTGAACCATAAAAAGTCTCGAAATTTTGTCAGAATGTGGCAAAAACCGCTTAATTGCTTAAGTAAACTACGGGCTCTTTTCCGTCAGCGTTTTTCCATTAAAATAAGGCTACAAAAAAAGCAATGAAAAACCTATTTATTTAGAATGCAAAGATATTTTGAAAAGGACGAATTTAAATGCGGAATCGTAAAAAAAAAATTAGCTAAAAAGCTGAAATATGACAACGCCCCGAAAAACCGATTGCGACACTTATTTTGGCTCGGCAAAACTGAGAAATATGGTAAGAGATATCGGTTTTAATATTACTGAAATTGCGAATCATCCTTTCTCAAAAGAAACCGATTACGACATCTATTTTAGCTTATCTACAACTAGTTAAATTAAACCAGTAGTTTAATTAAGTTCTACAAAACGGAAAGAATTAATATATGCTGTATTTCCTGCTTTATAATATAATTTAGCATATTAAATTTCAGACCTGGAGAAAATATACTTTTTACAAGATTTCCAAACTTTCCCAAAACCCGCATACCCCACTGTTTTGGGCTTATCTTGGAACGGGCTCTGGGGGCCAGGCGCGAAAACAACCCCTCCCCTTGCCGCCCCTCTCCCTCTTGACCCGTCCCCCGCCCTCCCTCCCCAGTGCCGCATTAGCTCAGTTGGTAGAGCGTCAGACTTTTAATCTGAATGTCAGGGGTTCGAGCCCCCTATGCGGCTAATCCTTTTTTGCTTTTTTGCCGAATTGTGAGATCGGTTAGAATTTGATTGAAAACGACGTTTTTATCGTTTTTAGAGGAAGTGGTGGTAGCTAATGCATGATTTTCCCGGTAAAGCATAGCCAACCGATTTTTAAGGTTTTTCCATGCTTTGTCGGAGTGGTTATTGCTTTTCGTGACGGTTTATCGTTGCCAAAAACCGATTTTAAGTGGTTTCCGATCAGTAAAAACTAGTTTTAATGGGTCTATACTTTTTTCAATTGCACATTTAGTTCTTTTCATGGCTTGAGGAAGTTTCTATACATTTTTAGGCCTATACGCTGAATGCTCGTCGACGCTTAGAAGTTAAAATGAGCATTTTACAACCATTTTAAGCCCAAATTTTTGATTTAAGGTATAGTTTACAATAATTTAACAGAGCAACTTGCATTTCTAGCTGTTTCGACCTGGAAATTCTAATTTTGTAATTTCTAGAGCCAGGGAAATGTGGCTAACGCTCGAAAACTAAAATTTTTTCTTTAATTCACGTTCACAGCTCGAAAAACTAGATTTTTCCAGGATCTCTGGAACTATTCTCCGCTCTCCCGCAACATCATTGCACAATTTTGCAGCACCAGGCCGCGAATCCGGCTATCCGACCCGGCCCTGATAGCTCAGGCTACATAAAAACGGAAGAAGCCGGAGCAGCAGGAGGAGACGGGTCGGCTACCCCGCCTCTTTCGTCTTAAAATAAATATATCAAAATCGGGGATCGCATTTGATTCCTCTCCTAATGTTTGTTCTCCCTCTCAGCGGGCCCGGGTCATCTGGGGCTTTGGGCCCTCTGTCTTGGAAAAGGATAATTTTGGGGGTAACTGGGCCGGAAAGTAGGATTCCCCGGCATGAAAGATCAACCGCAAGTTCGTGATATATCAGACTTTGGTCCCGTCGAGACGGAATCGAGCGCCTTACTTCGGTCTTTTGAACTGTCCGCTAGGGTTGCACATTTCGGCCCTTTTTCGAACTTGCTTAGATTTTTCAATATATTTTAAGACATGTAAATTGTTAAAATTGGCCCGTTCCATCTGCTGGATATCAGCAGCAACGCGCTAGATCGAAAACTAGTCTGAATATCGCTTAAAAAAGTAAAAACAGTATGATTAATGAGTTCAAACTTTTAAAAAATGCGTTTTACCATTTTCCTGAAACTTTTTCTTAGTCCAGTTAATGGAAAGCGTTGATTTTGACGTTTTCTAGCAGCGTCTTCTAACGTTTTTGTCAGGCTTTTATAGGGAGCCTGCGGCACCATTTTGTTTTTATTCGCCTGACTCGATCTCGTCTCCTGTTTTGTTTGAAATTAAAAATTTTGCATTAGCTTTGTAGTTTGATAATTTTAGTTTGGGGCACCCATTTCTGGAAGCCAGAAAGTAATAGAATAATTCAATCTTTCAAGGTTTACTCTGATAGGTTCCAACCCCATTTCTTTGCTTTCCTTCCCTTTTTTCGGAATTGTAGAACAACATTAAAAATATTTTAGCAAATGTCTGAAGCCGAGATAATCGATATTCCAACAGCGGAACACTGGAAGCAATGGAAACAATTAATTACAGCGGTAGGCTTGTTTTTTGATTTTTTTAAGCATTACACCGCTTTCAGGAAGGCTGGTGCGGGTTCGATGACACGATGCTAACGCTCTTTCCAATATCAGAGAATGTAAAAATGGTAGTAGCGGTTGATAGTACAGGTTTGTAGCTTGTAATATTTTGCAAAAACAAAAAATAAAGATGTCATCTAGATTCTCAGGAAACAAAACTCGTAAAAAACTAAATGTTCATTTTAGACAAATCCTTCCTCGGCTCGATAGTGTGGGCAGAAAACGACGATCTCATTTGCATTGATACCTATTACGTGGTAACTTTTCAGCTCCGAAATTCCTTTTACCAAATTAAAGCGTTAAAGTTGGTTACCATTCAAACGAGGATCAAAAATTACAGATATAAATTTAGAAAGCAAGTAGTCGAGGCCGAGGGGTCGGGCGAAAAATGTGGAAACGAATGAAGGAGCGGCTCGACCTGAAAAAACCGATGATGCTCAAGGCAGGTCAGCCGAATTTGAATTCAATTTTTTTAGTGAATTATATTTACCATTTTTTCATAGAGGTTGCCTAAAAAAATAGTAAATTAGTCAATCAAAAGTTTTTAGAAGACAACATGAAATCCAAGTACATGTCTGAGGAATTCCCATGTTTGGGCCCCGCGCAAACTTGTGTCGAGCCGAGGAAGGATCAGCTTTTGGTAGGCTTTGACGAATTTTACGAGATTGCTAGCTCTAATAACCCCCATGTTATTAATTTATATACCTAAATTACCTAAATCTGATGCATTACTTATTTCCAGGAGGCTGCTCGAAGGCTACAAAGTCCAACGATCGAGAAATCAGAAGAGCTACGCTACGTATCAATCCAGAAACTTAACGGCATCGATCTAGAGGCGTTCTATAATTTTGATAGAAAGGTGGGTTGTAAATAAAAATATATCCTTAAACTTTTTTATAAATGGATTCGAAACCCTCAAAGCCCACCCATGAATCCACTAGGGGTAGACAACTACGTAAAATATCAAAAAACAATCGCCTTTATTTTAACTTTTCCTGTAGTCTTCAGCAAAAAACTAGGCAAAATGTATGCTGAACCGAGGTTCTTCCTAAGTTATCTGGAGTTTTGCTCAGCTGTCGAGACCTAGTGGATAGAAAGGGTGGATTCTCGCCCCTCCTAGCCCCTTAAAAGCGCATCGTTGTCCTAAAGCTACCATTTTCCAGGCAACGGGCCGACAACGCCGAAAACTGCTCGATGCCCTCTTCAAATTACCTTGCGTAACCGGTGGCGTGCTGTTGAACGAGCTCGGGAAGGTGGTCGGCTTCTCGATGGTCGCCACAGCAATTCCGGAAGGGACTTACAAATTGGCGCCCCTGTATGCTGAAGATGATAATGTAGCTGGGAGGTTAATCGAGGAGATTATGGGTGAGTATTTCATTATCTCTCTATCTCTCTCTCGCTCTCTCTCTCCCTCTCTCTCTCTGGCTTTCTCTCTTTCTCTCATCTCGCCTTTATTCAACACTGAGAATTATGCAAATTTCAGGCGAAGTCGATTCCGGAGACCACGTCATCCAGTTGCATATCCCAGAAGGCTGTCGTGGCCACTCCCGATTTCAGCCCCTTTTTGAGGAACTCGGCGTACTCGTTGAATTCGACTCAACGGCCCTCTACTCTCAACAGTACAAAAATCCCACGAATCTCGGCCTTCTCTATGTGAACCACGATAATTTCATGCATTTTGATTTGTGAATCGATCGATTTTGCCAGGTGGCTTTTTGCATTTGTATAAAAATCAACGTTTGCAAATTGAAACAAAGAGAGAGAGAGAGAGAGAGAGAGAGAGAGAGTGAGAGAGTGAGAGAGATAGGAGAAAGGAGAGAGGAGAGAGGAGAGAAAGGGGTGGTGGGAAAGAAATCGGGACACAATTTTTTTGAATACAAATTTATGGAATTTCGATGGTTTGCGAAGCTCGAACTCGAATGAAAATGCAGCGGCATTTAATGCCATATTTTGTTAAATACCTTTATCAAAAACGCAGCTTTCACATTGACGCCTGAACGGGGACAGCGATGACCGGTGCGTCGAAACCAGGAGCTGGAGCTGGAGCTTCGGCTGTGTCGCTCTTCAGAAATAATAATATTAAGCTTCGGGTTGTCAAAGTGCTTCTATGCATTGAAGAGGAAATTTAGAATTAATCGTAAAATAAGCCCACTGCTACGGTATCGGGCGCGGAAGGGTGAGTAGCGTCCAAGGTTGCGGTATCCGCAGCTTCCGGAGCAGGAGCAGGAGCAGGAGGAGGTGGCGAAGGTGGCGATTGCTTCGGAGTAAGGGCATTCTGAATTTATAATACAAACTCTAAGTCGTGACCTACTTTTCCTTGGATCCATCGCTTAACCCTAGCTGGTTGTTGGTTTCTTTGCGCCGCTAAACTTAAGTTCGAACCTTCTCGACGGTCAAGAAAACATTTTTAAAGGACTTAAAAAGACATGGTCTTTTTTTTCTCCCTTGATTCTACTGGGTCCCAAAAAAACACCCCCTCTAGCGGTCCGGGGGAAACTCACTAGGGAAGTGCAAATAAAAAACCCCGCAAACCGTTTAGCAAAAATATGGGTCTGATAGAGTCGGCGACGGGGATTCCGAAACTGCAATCAGAATTTGCTAAACGCTTAATACAAAATAGTTATGAGCATTTTAAGTTTTGCACTACATTGTCCGCCCTCCCTTATGAGCCCCTCCCAAAGATGGGTGCCCGCCTGTCGAGTGGTGTAGTGGCTAACTAGCATGCTTCTGGAGCGCAGGGTCTCTGGTTCGACTCCCCGGTCATGCAAAACTTTTTGCTTTTTGGTCAAAGTCAACAACTTTAGACTTTTTCAAAGTTTCGAAGTCGAACAGGTCGTTCTCTTAATTTTTAAATTTTTGAAACTGATTGCAAAGTGGTGGCGGGAGTGTCAGAACTCTTGCGGATAGGGCACTAAAAAATTCACTTCTATTTTTTTTTGTAAGGCAGACCTAGACGCAGTCAATAATAAAGAAAATTTTAAAAAATCTAAATTTCGGACTTTTATTTGCTTAGGCTTAGGCTAAGGCTTAGGCTTAGGCTTAGGCTCAGGCTTAGGCCTAGGCTTAGGCTTAGGCTTAGGCTTAGGCTTAGGCTTAGGCTTAGGCTTAGGCTTAGGCTTAGGCTTAGGCTTAGGCTTAGGCTTAGGTTAGGCTTAGGCTTAGGCTTAGGCTTAGGACGAGCCCCCGGACTGGTATGCTTGTTTGGGCCGGCCGGATTTGTTGGGGCATTTGTTCTCGGCGCGTTGCACCGCTAGATACCTGGTTGTTGATTTTTGTTGGATCGGGCTACGAAGTTAGCCGTCCATAGCAGCCCTAGCCTAAGCACTACACCGAGAGATTTCCGGAACGGCGCCGGCTACCTTAGTAAGAATAGGGTGGTGGTCCCCAGGAGGTGTCGTTGTTGCTGATGCTCCTCCCTCAACCTTCCCTCCCGTACGTAGAGTAGCTCTAGCAACTACCTGAGCTGCGATCTGCTGAGACCCGGCCCTGAATGCGACCTTTTTTACGACAAATTTCGCAATCATATCGACCCCC